CCCATTGTTATTCATAGTACGCTTCTGTGGAACGTCAATGTCTGAAAAAGACTCTCAAAGGATTCTGATGAAATTCTAAGCCCTTCACTAATTGCCACTTTTCCAGGCAAAAGAAAGAAAGGGTTGGGATTAGGGGATTAATGGAAATGATAAAGGGAGAATATTTCCACTTTTGACCATAATGGAGTAAAAAGAACCATATTTACCCCCTCACTTTAAATGAAACAAACATTGGACACAGGGATTAAATAACAATTTTCAACCATTGATCAACAGTTAGCACATGACAGTGACCTCTGAGGACCAATACAGTTTACTACCTGAAGACAGTTTCCAGACTGCAGCTCAGAGAGGAAGGACCCAAACAGAGCCAGGCAGAGTATCTGCACTGTAAGACAAAGTTCTTAGTCGGGGGAAATTGAAATGGCTAGAATTTGCAGGCAAGAAAATGTGACAAAAAGGCACAAGTAAGAGGACTACAGAGATCTGCACAGGCTTCCCAACCAATCTTTAACTGAGCACTGATTAGTGTATGCCAGCAAGGCTTTCCCAGACTAAGGAAAGAACCATTGGAAAAGAGAAAGCTCAGCAATGCCAGGAGCTCACAACAGACCAGGAGTAATCTGCATCCCTATCTACTACGCAGAGCAGAAAGGCCTCCTGAAACACAAAGCATTAAATTACCTCCTTACAAGACTACTGCATCCGTAACAGAGTCAAATTCATCCTAGACTGAAGGTTGTTCTGTATGCACCTAAAAGAGCCAAAAAACAAATCAAACTTTCCCCAAGTAACGTAGCCGCATCCAAAGCCAAAATAAAACAGCATGAAAATATCCAGCACCCCAAAACATAGAACTCTCAAGGTCTGGTACCCAATAAAAACTTGATAGGACAGTAAATAAGTGGGAAAATATGACCTATAAGAACAACAACAAAAAATCAATCAATAAAAAAGATCCAGAAATGATACATATGATAGAATTAGCAGACAAGACCATTAAAATAGCTGTTAGAATATATTCTATATGTTGAAGGAATTAAAATATAAGCAGGGTAAGAGAGGAATGAAAGACAAAAAAAATGGCCTCCATCAAACTTGTAAACATAAAAAATAGAATGATGAAAAATACTTGGTGGGATTAAGAGACGATTAGACCTTACAAATGGGTTTATTTCAAGGAGTGAAAGACTGTTTAAATATTTGAAAATCAATGGAATTCACCAATTTAAAGGGCTAACAATAAAAATTCATACGGTATTCTCAATAGAAGTAGAAGAAACATTTGAATGGAAATGAAGAGATATTTAGAGTTTCCACTTCTACTCCCACTTTGGTTTCCCTGTCACGAAGTGCTCCTGGGTCTTTTTATGAAAATGTCTTATTTCTCCTCTATGTTTGGTCTTCAACTGTCTTCTTTACTGGTTTCACTCATACCTCTTGGAGATATTATCTCTGTGTAACAGACAGCGTTTGGATCTTTCTCTCTCTGGGTTGCTGCCCTAATACATACTGAACTTTTTTTCATGAAGATAATATGTCTATATCTACAGGTAAATATGTCAAAATAAAAGTGTCCTTTTAATGTCAATTTTACCTCTGTTAAGGTCATTATATATATCCAGTGGCTGGAATAATTATTATTTTATTCCATTCAAAGGGTGAAACTAATATCATATGAAAAAATGGAGATGAAAACTTATGGATTAAATTAATCAATTATATTAGCCTCTGAATCTGATCTACTCTAGGCTGTATGATAATTATATTTCCACTTACATATGAGAATTTTGAACAAACGTTTAACTTTGAGGGAAAAAAATCTAAACTCAAAGGTAGTCTCTCTGGAAAGATAAAATGATGAAAATAAAATTCTGGAACATGAGTTGTCTGTTGTAATGAACAATCCAGGGCTGTGCTGGATTTAGATCTAATATTGGCCGTTAAGGATGTGCGCTAGAAAGCAGAAGTTTCTGAGATAAAGATGAGTATCTGGGGTAAATATGTTAATTCCTGATGTGTAATCTCTTAAAAAATACCAACAGTGTGTCAGAAAGGAATTACTGTCTGCAAAGAACATATAAAAACAGTTGTCTGAAGAAATATCTTGTTCATTGCTACCTGCAATGTTAAACAGATAAAGGTTTGAAACTTGAAGATAATATCGGCAAATGCTCAGAACGTTATAAAAAAACAGTTTGAATTTCAATTATTCTCCTTAAAATAGTTTTTTTGACACATTTGCCAATTTGAATATATTTTTCTATTTTTTTGTGATTATTATCCTACACAATTTATGAAAAGTTATTCTAAAAATAATTTGTAGCTTTGCTTGAGTAGTAACCTAAATTAATAACTAATATATACTTAAAAGAGTGTTCATTTTTAAGCTTTCACTGTCTCTCTTTCAACACTGTGATCCACAGTCTAAAAGTATGGAACATTTTGATATCTGTTTTATGTTAATTGAAATAAAAAATATTTAAAAATAAAAAAAATAAAAGTAAACTGTCGAACAATAGATTTAGAATAGAGAATTTATTCATTTGAACTTTTTTTACATAACACTTAATTTATGGAAATTTAACTCTACATAATTAGCTTTTTTCTGTAATAATATGGTATGCAATAAAATATACAATTATATTTAATAAAATATAATTTTGTACTCATACAACAGTAGTGTCATCTACACTAAAATTCCCACTTCTGAGTACTCTCCAGTATTAACAATAAAGTGGTTGAATGAGTCACCGGGCTCCTGGGCCCATTTTGGCCAGAAACATGGCTTTTAGACAAAATGATCAGGACTATGAGTGCCTCTGACTTGGTTAAATCACTCTGTTGTCATCTTTAATTATTTAATTCAACCAACTTAACTGAAAACAAAAGCATCATTATTTTTAAATGAAAGTCAAAAACAATGTTATCCTTTGAGACAAAATGATAGTATTGTAAGTATTTTTCCTGAAGCCTGATCATGGACACAGCCAGAGAGACATGGTGCATAACCTACCTGTACCAGGAGATGGTGGGCTCGGGAGACCCAGAGGCCCTGCAGGAAAATGTCATCTCTTCTCCTCTTTCTGCTGTGGCATTAAAGGATTTCTGAGGCATTGTGATTGCTGGTGGCACTGAAAAAGTTGCATGTAGAATAAACAGAGATGAAAAACATTTTACCAACACCACTGGGACGTTTTTACCATTTTTTTTTTAATGCTGAGCTTTAAAACTTGGTAGTTCACTTCTGTACTTACATCAGGAGGACTGGCCTGACTGCATAGTAAAATGACTTTAAAATCACTGATCAGCCATCTAATGTACAATAATTAGGTAATTCACTGCTATGCTATATTAGTATTTTTAATCTATTAAACTAAACTAAATCAACTATTTTAGCAAATATATATGTATATCTGTATATGTACACACACTTTTATCAATTACTTCTTGCAAAAAGACAGATTATACCACCCTGACTTACATCAATACTGAGATCTACTTGGAGCGTAAATGGATTTCCTATTTGGGTTCTCATCGGTGTAAGTAATTCTATAAGCAATCACTCACTGCTTCAAGACAGGGCTTTCAAATTAAGTGTCAAACCATAATGTTCTTTCTGATTAACTACACTTAATTTCTTCAAACAACTACAGAACATTTTACGAAGAGAAACTGCTTGATCCATAGAGAGTATGAAATAGATTTTCATGAACAATTCAATTTTAAAATTAAGCTTCCTCAATTTCTAACTAATTACATTGCAAAAACTGTATATGCTGCACATTTTGAACATGTTGAAACTATTACCAAAATGCACTGTTTGCAATAAACAAATCAATGACATAACAGAAGCTAAATTTCAAAGCCCAACATAAATTCTGATTTAATGAACACTTTTATTATTTTCAATTGAATATGATGATACAATATGCCTATAGTTAAAGATTTAAAATATTTGATTTTTACATATCCTAAACATGAGCAGACAGGCATTTAAAAGCTTGATTGTAATTAAACATCTCCACAGTAGCATTCAGGTCAGCACTGATGCTGCATTATTGCAATGATGGTGGGGATAGGAACTGATATGTACCTTAGTAATTAAGCACTATAAATCAAGCTTATGCCTTTATGAATTTAGATATAAGGGGCATGACTTGACATGCTATCTGTAAAGTAACATAATAATTACTAGTATTACAATGGAATAGACTTTTTTTTCAGATGTTAACTGCATCTTAAGTCACTGAAAACTGACTTCCTGTATCCTGTTCTCCTTCTCTTCTAATTATGAAATAAAACATTTTAATCAACATGTATTGCTTTTCCTTTTGTTATTTATAAATGAGTTGCAAAAACACTATGACTATTTTTGTTATAATAAAGATTTTAACTTTTAAGGAATTACAATGAAAATAAACTATTAGAAACTCTCTCTGTAGTGTTTATGTAAATAAAAGCATTTCCAAATGGAGAACCATATGCTCCAGTTCTTGTCCTGTTCCTGTTACCTAAATAAGTTATTTTTCCTTTACCATAATTTTTTTATCTATAAAGTAAACAATATGCTGGATAATCTCTAAAAACTGACAAATCTTAATCTCTATGTTTTATGAAGTTAATTCTGCTAATGATACACGTGTTCTTACTTGTAGCGTAGATTAGCAGAAAAATGTTAATATGGCATATTTAGATACTTTGAAGTACTATGAAGAGTAATTCCAGAACTATTCCAGAGATTAATAGCATCAAAATCTGCAGAGGTTTTCACTAAGTTAGATGTCAAGATGTTCAGGAAGTTTGTTACTCACTGTTTAGACTCTACTGTTCTTACATATATCACCTTATTATTTCTAAATTCACTGTTGAGTTGGATTAAATAATTTTAAAAGCTATTATAATTATATTTATCTGAATTAATTTTTCTCCCACAAGATCATTTTAAAATTTTAAAAAAATACAAACTTGTGGTTACTGGGGGGGGGGTAGAGGGTGGGAAGGGACAGACTGGGATTTCAAAATTGTAGAATAGATAAACAAGATTACACTGTATAGCACAGGGAAATATACACAAAATGTTATGATAAATCACAGAGAAAAAAATGTGACAATGAGTGTGTATAGGTCCATGAATGACTGAAAAATTGTGCTGAACACTGGAATTTGACATAACACTGTAAAATGATTATGAATCAATAAAAAATGTAAAAAAATATTTTTTTTTGCATTTGATTATATCGGAAAAATCCAACTTTAATAACTTGATCAAGATTTATATTCCATATCTGCTAAGTAGTCAGTGCTTTCTGGTAAGCTTCTGTTTTCATACTTTAGCTACAAGAAACATACGGGTGTGTAAGAAAGTGGCTCCATAACTCACTTATATGGAGGCTCTGGTTCAACATCAAGTTATAATTTACCTCACTGACTGCTTAGGCACCAAAGATATCACTAATTTAACACCTTAACTTCCTTTCATCAACAGTGGCATTCCATGTCTTCTGTGTCTTACAGTCTTCCTCTATCCACTTTCCCTCAAATATTTATTGGAAAATGAAGAATGTGGTACCAAACATGAAATACTTGTATGGTTCTGATTAACCAATACTAATAATCTCTCCAACTTTATTCAGGATCAGGATGACAAACTCCACCCTCCCACTGTCAGGGAAGCAACTCTTTTTCAATTCACTGATTATTCCGATGTATCCTAAATATATACCAGCAAATGAATTCACATGTAGATCCTCTACTTTGCAGAGGACTGCTAATTTTAAAACTCACAGTCTTATTTACCTGTCCTTGTTTTTACTTTCAAGGTTGCAGGGCACTTAGACATTCACATAAGAGAGGATATGACGAAGACAGCAGAGCAGGAACCAACAGGCATCTGTCTTCACACTTACATGCAACTGTACTGGCAGAATCTGTCTAATGTCACTATCTTGGAACTGGGGGTCTACTGAATGCTTACAACTTTCAAACAAAGACATGGAAGATACATTGTGCTTAATACTGGTCAATTTCAGCTGGCAGTATAATATAGTACCTATCCCCCTCCCCATCTAAGGCAGGCAGCTGTGCACATGATCCTGAAGCTGGATGACCACAGAAAGCCAGGATAAGCAAAGAGGACTTTGTCATTCATATATGAAGGATCTGTGCACTGATCACTGACTGATGCTTTTGATCACAGAAGTGCAGATGAAGAGGTAGCAGTGGCCACTGTTGTTGTACCCTGCACTGATTGCTGTGACAGCCACAGGCTGACATTCTTTTATTTCCTCTCTTCATTTTTCCTTCTTACCATTTTAAGAGCCAGACATTAAAGACCAGGACATTCTAAAACAATTGTATATACTGGACTCATCAGAAAGTGATCATGCCTGCTGAGGGAAAGGTGCAGGTTTAGAGAATACACAAGGATACCTTAAGTTTACACCTCAAGCTGATCTTTGGCATGGAGACAGACTACAATTAAAAAAGAAAAAAACAGTAACAGTAAACCCTAGGGTTGAGAGAGAATCTGATTTCCACCGTAACCACATTATTAGGTTCAAATGCCCAGTTTGCAACAAAACGTTACAAGGCCTACAAAAACACAGGAAAGTATGGCCCATTGAAAGGAGAAATTAAATAAACAGAAACTGCCCCTGAAAAAGACCTGAAGGTAGATAAAGAGTTTGAAACAATTATCTTAAAGATGCTCAAAGAACTAAAGGAAGTGGTGAAGGAATTCAAGTAATATATGAACAAGCTGAAATAGATAAAGAGATAGAACACCTAGAATGAAACCAAAAATAAATTCTGGAACTTAAAAGGACAATAATTGAAATGAAAAAAATCCATTCGAGGGAGTCACAGACAGATTTAAGCAAGTAGAAGAGTCAGTGAACATGAAACAGGTTAATGAAAATTTTAGCATTTGAGTAGAAAAAAAGACAAAAAGTTTGAAAAAAGTGAATAGAGCCTAAGGAACCAGTATGAGACACCACCAGGTAGACCAACCCCCAATCACACAGTGGGAGTCCCAGAAGGAGAAGAGAGAGAGAACATACGAAGAAATAATGGCTGAAAACTTCAGCTATAAATACAAACATCCAAGAAACTCAACAAACTACAACTAAACAAGTTCAGTGAGGACCAGGCCAAGGCACATATAATGAACTCTTCAAAAGCCAAAGGCAGAGAGAAACTCTTGAAAGCAGCAAGAGAGAAGTGACTCACAACATGAAGGGAGCCTCAATAACATTATCACCAGAGTTTGTATCAGAAACTTAGGAAGACACAAGGCAGTGGGCTCGTATATTCAAGTGCTAAAAGGAAAAAAATTAAAAAACAAAAAAACTGTCAACCAAGAAACCTGTATCTGGGAAAACGGTCCTTCAACAGTGAGGGAGAAATTAAGATATTACTCTACTTTTTATTTTCTACATGATTTAAGTTAATATATTTTAAAAGAATATTAGTCTAAAAGCTATTACTATTTTAACTGTGTTTTGAAACTCCTAATTTTGTTTTCTACATAATTTGGGACCAATACATTTTAAAGAATTATCAGTTAAAGTTTTTGGACACACAATGTATAAAAATGTAATTCTGTGACATCGATAACCAAAAGGGATGAGGATAAGCTATAAAAAAAAGAGTAGAGTTTATTCATGCTATTGAAGTTAAGCTGGTCTAAGTTCAAGTAACAGCTTTATAACTTTAGGATGTTAAGTGCAATATCACCAATAACACAAAGAAATTAGCTATGAAATATACACAAAAGGAAATGAGAAAAAAATTTTAAATTTCACTACCAAAAAAAAACTATTAACAGAATACAGTAATATATGAAATAATGACAAAAAACTATAAGACATTTAGAAAACAAGTAGCAAAATGACAGAAGTCCTTTCTTATCAATAATTACTTTAAATGTAAATGAATTAAACTCTCTAATAGACAGAGATTGGCAGAATGGCTAAAATTCATAATAAAATTATGTGCTATCCATTAGAGACTCACTATAGCTACAAAGACACAAACAAATTGAAAGTGAAAAAACAGAGAAAAATATAATAACCAAAAGAGAGCAAGGATGATGCTACAAATAGACAAAATAGACTTTAAATTAAAAAAAAAG